GTCCTTTTTGGATTCTATGAGACAACGGACGTGTTTTTTGGGACATTGGCGGACACGGACGGACACTGGCGGACTCGGACGGACACCGGCGGACCCGGACGGACACCGGCGGACTCGGACGGACATTTGCGGACCCGGACGGACATTGGCGGACTCGGACGGACATTGGTGGACATTAGCGGACAAACATTTTGAGAATTTTTCCCAGAAGGATGACCTAGGTGGAGGAGGAGGAGAACTGAGGAGGATGACTCAGGAGGAGGAGGACTCAGGAGGAGGACTGAAGAGGACTGAGAAGGAGGAGGACCCAGGAGGATGGCTGAGGCCTGAGGAGGATGGCTGAGGAGGATGACTGAGAGGGAGGAGGAGGAGGAAGAGGAGGAAGAGGACTGAGGAGGAGGAGGAGAAGGACTGAGGAGGAGAAGGAGGACCTAGGAGGAGGAGGACCCAGGAGGAGGACCCAGGAAAAGGCCCCAGGAGGAGGAGGAGGACTGGGGAGGAGGAGGACTGTTGAGGACTGATGAGGAGGACTGAGGACGAGGAGGAGGAGTAGGAGGAGGAGGGGAGGAGGAAGAGGACTGAGGAAGATCAGGAAGACCCAGGAGGAGGAGGAGGAAGAGTAGGAGGAGGAAGCATCTAAATGTTATTTCCATTTTTGTCCATTTTTGTCCGTTTTTATCCGCTCTATTTTTTGTCCGTTTTGAAAATATAGGGTACCGAACGGTGGAAGACTGAGGAGTACTGAGGAGGATGGCTGAGGAGGATGGCTGAGGAGGATGGCTGAGGAGGATGGCTGAGGAGGATGACTGAGAGGGAGGAGGAGGAGGACTCAGGAGGAAGAGGAGGAGGAGGACTCAGGAGGAGGACTTAGGAGAAATGAGAAGGAGGACTGAGGAGAACTGAGGAGGAGGAGGAGGACTGAATAGGAGGAGGAGAAGGAGGGGGACTGGGAGAGGACTGAGGAGGAGGAGGACTGGTGAGAAGGATGAGGACCGAGGACTGAGGACCGAGGACTGAGGACCGAGGAGGAAGAGGAGGAGGATGAAGAGGAGGAGGAGGACCCAGGAGGAGGAGGACTGAGGAGGAGGACTGAGGAGGACTAAGGAGGATGGCTGAGGAGGATGACCGAGAGGGAAGAGGAGGAGGAGCAGGAGGAGGACTCAGGAGGAGAAGGAGGAGGACTAAGGAGGACTGAGAAGGAGGAGGACTGAGGAGGAGGAGGAGGAGGAGGAGGAGGAGGAGGAGGACTGAATAGGAGGAGGATGAGGGGGACTGGGGGAGGACTGAGGAGGAGGATGAAGGACTGAGGAGAAGGATGAGGAGGAGGACTGAGGACTGAGGAGGAAGAGGAGGAGTATGAAGAGGAGGACCCAGGACGAGGACTCAGGAGGAGGAGGACTGGGGAGGAGGAGGACTGGTCTACCTCAACCTTCTTATTTAGGAAATGACAATAAAACTAACATACTGGTCTACCTCAACCTTCTCATTTAGGAAATGACAATAAAACTAACATACTGGTCTACCTCAACCTTCTCATTTAGGAAATGACAATAAAACTAACATACTGGTCTATCTCAACCTTCTCATTTAGGAAATGACAATAAAACTAACATACTGGTCTACCTCAACCTTCTCATTTAGGAAATGACAATAAAACTAACATACTGGTCTACCTCAACCTTCTTATTTAGGAAATGACAATAAAACTAACATACTGGTCTACCTCAACCTTCTCATTTAGGAAATGACAATAAAACTAACATACTGGTCTACCTCAACCTTCTCATTTAGGAAATGACAATAAAACTAACATACTGGTCTACCTCAACCTTCTTATTTAGGAAATGACAATAAAACTAACATACTGGTCTACCTCAACCTTCTTATTTAGGAAATGACAATAAAACTAACATACTGGTCTACCTCAACCTTCTTATTTAGGAAATGACAATAAAACTAACATACTGGTCTACCTCAACCTTCTCATTTAGGAAATGACAATAAAACTAACATACTGGTCTACCTCAACCTTCTCATTTAGGAAATGACAATAAAACTAACATACTGGTCTACCTCAACCTTCTTATTTAGGAAATGACAATAAAACTAACATACTGGTCTACCTCAACCTTCTTATTTAGGAAATGACAATAAAACTAACATACTGGTCTACCTCAACCTTCTCATTTAGGAAATGACAATAAAACTAACATACTGGTCTACCTCAACCTTCTCATTTAGGAAATGACAATAAAACTAACATACTGGTCTACCTCAACCTTCTCATTTAGGAAATGACAATAAAACTAACATACTGGTCTACCTCAACCTTCTTATTTAGGAAATGACAATAAAACTAACATACTGGTCTACCTCAACCTTCTCATTTAGGAAATGACAATAAAACTAACATACTGGTCTACCTCAACCTTCTTATTTAGGAAATGACAATAAAACTAACATACTGGTCTACCTCAACCTTCTTATTTAGGAAATGACAATAAAACTAACATACTGGTCTACCTCAACCTTCTCATTTAGGAAATGACAATAAAACTAACATACTGGTCTACCTCAACCTTCTTATTTAGGAAATGACAATAAAACTAACATACTGGTCTACCTCAACCTTCTTATTTAGGAAATGACAATAAAACTAACATACTGGTCTACCTCAACCTTCTTATTTAGGAAATGACAATAAAACTAACATACTGGTCTACCTCAACCTTCTCATTTAGGAAATGACAATAAAACTAACATACTGGTCTACCTCAACCTTCTCATTTAGGAAATGACAATAAAACTAACATACTGGTCTACCTCAACCTTCTCATTTAGGAAATGACAATAAAACTAACATACTGGTCTACCTCAACCTTCTCATTTAGGAAATGACAATAAAACTAACATACTGGTCTACCTCAACCTTCTCATTTAGGAAATGACAATAAAACTAACATACTGGTCTACCTCAACCTTCTTATTTAGGAAATGACAATAAAACTAACATACTGGTCTACCTCAACCTTCTCATTTAGGAAATGACAATAAAACTAACATACTGGTCTACCTCAACCTTCTTATTTAGGAAATGACAATAAAACTAACATACTGGTCTACCTCAACCTTCTTATTTAGGAAATGACAATAAAACTAACATACTGGTCTACCTCAACCTTCTTATTTAGGAAATGACAATAAAACTAACATACTGGTCTACCTCAACCTTCTTATTTAGGAAATGACAATAAAACTAACATACTGGTCTACCTCAACCTTCTTATTTAGGAAATGACAATAAAACTAACATACTGGTCTACCTCAACCTTCTTATTTAGGAAATGACAATAAAACTAACATACTGGTCTACCTCAACCTTCTTATTTAGGAAATGACAATAAAACTAACATACTGGTCTACCTCAACCTTCTCATTTAGGAAATGACAATAAAACTAACATACTGGTCTACCTCAACCTTCTCATTTAGGAAATGACAATAAAACTAACATACTGGTCTACCTCACACTTCTTATTTAGGAAATGACAATAAAACTAACATACTGGTCTACCTCAACCTTCTTATTTAGGAAATGACAATAAAACTAACATACTGGTCTACCTCAACCTTCTTATTTAGGAAATGACAATAAAACTAACATACTGGTCTACCTCAACCTTCTTATTTAGGAAATGACAATAAAACTAACATACTGGTCTACCTCAACCTTCTTATTTAGGAAATGACAATAAAACTAACATACTGGTCTACCTCAACCTTCTTATTTAGGAAATGACAATAAAACTAACATACTGGTCTACCTCAACCTTCTTATTTAGGAAATGACAATAAAACTAACATACTGGTCTATCTCAACCTTCTTATTTAGGAAATGACAATAAAACTAACATACTGGTCTACCTCAACCTTCTTATTTAGGAAATGACAATAAAACTAACATACTGGTCTACCTCAACCTTCTTATTTAGGAAATGACAATAAAACTAACATACTGGTCTACCTCAACCTTCTTATTTAGGAAATGACAATAAAACTAACATACTGGTCTACCTCAACCTTCTTATTTACATAGATGCGGAGTTCGTTGATTTTTGGCGTAGAGTTCGTGGAGTTCGTTCAAAATTTGGAGTTCGTTAGAGTTCGTTGGAGTTCGTTAGTCAATTTTTCAAAAAAAAACATGGAAAATGTTTTTTTTTTAAAGTAATCAGCTCAGGATTTCTCGCATGATCTCAGATATTTATTGGGGTAAAAATAAAGAATAAAACTATAATATTTTTGTATAAATAAATAAATAACGAGCAATACAGAATGTTAAATTTTACTAACTTGTTGTAAAGTTGTACCTACAATGACATTTGAATCATCAACTATACCTATAAGTCTATACACAGTGCACTTCAATTTCAAATAGTTCAGTCTGCTGTACATGGCAAAATAAAATGTATACATCATACATGAACACTGAATGTACAATGTACATTCGGTGTGATCACAGCTGTTTACAGCAGAAGAAAACGAAACGCAACGCCAGAAGTACAAGTTGAAGTTTTCTGCAACGTGTCCAGGGAACGTGCGCGCGCAAACTATTGGCGCCAGAATGTTCCAGTCGATCGACCAGTCCTTGTACTGTGAAATGTACAGTGTACACGCGACGCGTGGTAGAAGTTTCGAGTACCAATATATTTAGTTGTTTTACAATCGTATGTTATGTGTTGAATTGGCTGAATTGTAAATACAATTTCTGTTTAATTTCATTTTACGTAAGTTGTACAAAACGAACTCCTCAAGAGTTCGTAATTTTGGGTTGATGAGTTCGTAGAGTTCGTTGTCACTGAGGAGTTCGTAGAGTTCGTACGTATCATCTATGCTTATTTAGGAAATGACAATAAAACTAACATACTGGTCTACCTCAACCTTCTTATTTAGGAAATGACAATAAAACTAACATACTGGTCTACCTCAACCTTCTTATTTAGGAAATGACAATAAAACTAACATACTGGTCTATCCGAGCCTTGGGAGAGCCAATCAGACACATTCTCCGATATCAAAACGAGGACTGGGAAGACAATGCTTTACAGCCGACTGCTGGATCCTTTAGAGAGTATGTTAGCATGAGGGATCAAGAGGACATGCCATTTGGGAACTTGCCCTTTATCGAGGACGACGGGAAGAAGGTAACTCAGAGTATTACGATCATGAGGTATCTTGGTAGGAAGTTTGGGTTGTACCCGACTAGTGCAGAGGAGTTGGTTTTGTGTGAAGTTGTTGAGCAGGAAATCTATGATCTACGCAATAGATTAACAGCTGCATGCTATGATTATTACGGCGCACGTGGACCTTTTCCAGCATCTGAGAAGGGGGTCTTCGACCACGAGTTCATGAAAAGAACTTTACTCCGGAGACTGAGAGAGAGGATTCCAAAGTTCGAGAAGACTCTGACTAAGAAATTTCTGCTGGGGGATAAGCCTGTTTTAGTAGAGGCTCTTACGGGCATTGTCTGCTCGATACGTTAGGGACCCCAGATACACCTTACTAGACGTATTTTTGACCGTAGAATCGATTGAAAGTGGTTTCAAGATGATTGGACTGATTGTTCTGGGGTAAAATCGCAAAAAACCGATTTTTGGGCCAAAAATAGGCCAAAAAACCATGTTTTTTGATATTTTGAGCAAGTTAATTTTGTTGGCATGTCGGCAAAACTTGCATAAAGATAGCTAAAAGACAGCCGCACAAGATTGTATAAAAATAAAACAAATCCCTCTATTTGTTCTGAGGTAAAAATCCAAAAAAGTGGTAAAAATTTTGACTTTTTTGCTTGAAGTTTGAATAATTTTTTGCAGTTGTATTAAATTAACCCAAAAATAGTCACATCGTGTTTGCCTAAATTTTTCCTTTCCGAGAAGTACCCACTTTATATACTTTATCGAAGTTTGAATATTTTCACTCCGCAAGCGTTTTTGCCAAATTTTCGACGCGCACTACGCGCAAAAGCATTTAGTTGTTATCAATTGGCACCCGCGCGTTCATCATAAATTTCAAACAGCTATAACTCAGCGAGATTATGTCCGTTCTAGCTCATATTTTCACACTAAATAGAAAATAATGTGATCTTATTGCTGACAAAATATGAATATAATTACTCTATTTGCCTTAGAGTAATAGACTGTCAAAGTTTAAAACGCGCATTGGTATAGCACGTGACTAATAAGGCCAAATTTATACTTCTTAACATATTATCGATCCTTAGACATCATACTATTGTGTCCAATTAGCGGTTAGGTCTCTAAACTCGTAGCAGAAAACACGTCTTTTTGCCCGTAAGAGCCTCTACTATTTATGTGGACTTCCTTCTTTACGAATATCTGGATCAACTGAGACAGTTTCTACCTGAGGCCTTCACAAGCTGCAACAATGTCCTAAATTATTTGTTAAGATTTAAGGAGTTACCAAATCTGAGGGAGTGGTTTGAGAGTGAGGAATATAAGAAGGGGAATTACATTAATGCCCCTCACGCTGAATGGAATGGGATAGATTAAAGCTTGGCAGATTTTTGAGAGAACTGTGATTTTACCATTAAATTATAGTACAGTTTTTGTTTTGACTTTGATTGATATGATTGACAAGTTATGAAACTTCTTCTTTAAGTGAAAAACAAAAAATTTGCTTTTTAATTACGTTCGTTAATCATAATTTTAATCGGAATCCTAAGGCTAATCTGCAAATTTAAAAACAAAGAGTTATAATAAATCAACAAGAAATTACTTGATATGGCTAGCGATACAGCGGTCCCCCGCGCACTTTTTACCACCACTTGCATCACAGTCCGTGCTCAAACTTTGTGATATCAACGTAAAATGCTGGTTGTCAATCACGTATTGCTGAAGATAAAACATTTTACGAAGTAGCATATTATTATTAATATGGACCAAACTAGACTGTCAATTCTGTAAGTCTAAATTTGATTTGGCCAAAAATATTGAAAGATGAACGCAAAATGAAGTAGCACGGCAAAGAGTAATAACATAATTTATTATATATTGTCTATAGACAACACTGCATACTATAACACTTCGATAGTAAAATAACATCCCAAAGAGTGAAAATGAGTGGAAAAGAGTAATAACGGACCCGTAAGTGGCTGGTTGGCTCGTCTAGTCCGGGCTCCACCTCAAAAGTGGAACATGAATAACAGGAGATGCATAAAACTGCGGGTAGTGAACACACCAGTAGAACTATAACAACCAAGGTCTCCTTCATTCTGTATAAATTTTTATCAGACTAAGTATACATTTTTATCAGACTAAGTATACATTTTTATCAGACTAAGTATACATTTTTATCAGACTAAGTATACATTTGAGCATTTCCCTGAATCTGTTGTGGAACTCTACTTTTCTAACCTCTGATCCTTATTTAAATGAAAGTAAAAAAATGAATCCAGATGATAATTATGAAAAATTTTATATTTTTATACGATGGGCGATGGCCCAGCGGGATCAATATAGACAGATGGCCCAGGCCCCAGCCTTATCATTTCGACTGAATTCGTTACGTATACTAATATACTGCAAAAACATATCATGGATGAAAACTCTTGCAGCAAGGCAACAAAATTTCGATCCAACAAAAAGTAAAGGATTGTAACTAGGTAACTAAATAAATATAAGCGTTGTTATTATACAGTCGGTGATTGAGCGGTGTAAAAAGGCAAACTCGGAACTTCGATAAAACACAGAAATGATGTGCATATTATATTTATGGTGTGCGACAACAGCATCAACCCCTCAACACGTGTGAGAGAACTCAATCTCATTCCGTGTGGTTATAACAAATATTAGTTAAACACGACAACAATTCTCAAACTCCCGTATTGACGATCATCTCACGTTACTAAATTTATGTGACGGTCTCGTCGTCCCATCGGCTAAAGTGAGGATTATGGTTTGGAATGTAAACAAGGTGTTGTTTACCTCATGTTTATGGAATTTTCCCTGGTAACCATAGCAAATACATTGGAGGCAAAACACGCAACACGACTACAAAAACAAAAAAGAATCAGTGACTTACTTGATTAATATGGAGATATTTACTGCCGCACATGTGATCTTGTTAACTAGCTCTCACTAATTGGGGCAGGTCGTTCTCTTCCGGCCGATCTGAAATACCAATTACTAAATTGTAAATATCGTTACCATGCCTACCAAAGATATGATATAGTTGTTTAATCTAAATGATCATGTGTTGTGATTAAGTGTTGATTACGGATTTACTAATACTAATAATAATTAACCTGTTATTAGTTGTATCACGTGGTGACCCCCACTGTCGCTTCACTATATAAGTGTAGAGTTTCTACGATACAGGGGGAGCCGCGCACTCGTGCGCGGCGGGTCATACAACGTATGACAAGTTATTAGTGCGAAACTTTGGTACATCAACATCCTAGTTGTGATTTACCAAACTTTCACACTCTTACACCGCATGAGTGGGAACGTCAATCCAGCTTAATATTTATATACTAGCAATAAGTGCTAATCAACTATAAACACGGCTTATATCAAATAAAACGTGCATTTTTGCTAGTTGCACGTGGTAAATTTTGCAAAATGGTAAATTGTATATTATGTTGCAAAATTCTCCCACATTATTTTGTACACCCAAGAAACGTACCTTATTGGCTCATTCACAAGGGGTAAAAGTTTTAAAAATATTGTCATCCGTATTCCGTACCGCGCGGTTTTTAGCAAAATGTTCGTTTTTTTAAATAGTGTTAGCAACTTTAATTTTGCACATTCCTGTCCTTTGTCACACAAATGCGCGGCTCCCCCTGTATCACCCTGTTTCACCTATGTACCTAGTGAAACGACCGTGGGTGTCACGAGTCACGACGTGATACAACCTGTCCTTTGATTAACTTAAATGTTTCGGGTGAAGCTTGCAACGGTGGAATGCGTCACGAAAGGGAGTTGCAAATTGCAATGCGTGTCTGCAAGTCACGTGTACGACCAGTAGACTTAAGTGCGTGAGCTGTAAAGACGAGCTATATACTAGACGCGATCACCTTCAAACACGATCAGCCGGTATATATAGTAAGGTTTTATGGATATCCAATTCGATAATAGGTTGACGGTTGACCATTGTTAATGATTTGGCCCGGCGCGCGCTACTTCGAAGAAATTTAGACGAGTAACATCCGTCAAATCTGAGCCCTAAACAATTGAATTCGTGTTTTACTTGACTGATGTCACTCTTCTAAATTTCTTCGAAGTAGCGCGCGCCGCTTTCTTCTCGAAATATTACTCATACTTTTGCCCATAACTCTCCAGAGAAGCATTTTTACCCTACGTCATGGGGGTGATTCTGAATCAGCGTTCAAAAATACACCCACTCTGCACTCCAATTATTTTTATACCCTCAGGGCCTTTTCACAAGACTTTTCTTAAAATTTGGGCGAGCGATTTAGTGGGAGCGAAAAGTTTGAGCATATCAAATTATCAAACATCATGTTACAGCTCATAGCAACACCTTTTGCTCCATTTTCATCACTATTTCAACCCCAATATCCATCGAATTTTTAGAATTCCGAAAATCAATTAATTTCGCCAAATTACGTCACTTTTCACCTAAAAGTATAAAATTAGCAAGCCAACCCAATCACCAATGCTTGGCGCTCTTTTCGAGGCGCTCCTTTCGAGCTTCTCCCATTGTAGAGAAGCGAGCAATAGACTAGCATGCTAGGGAAGCAAAGTGTTGTTCTGCCTGTACGGCGTCGCAAGCACCCCCTCCGCCGTCCTCCACTTACGATGGGATGATGGGTTGGGCAGCGTCTGACGAACAAAGTAATACTAATATTAATGACATCGAACACTAAATTAAAAGCAAATAAAAGTAAACAAAAATATAAATATTTTTTAAAACCTAAGTATAGCTTCCACTATAATTTCATTTTCAGCACAGCCAAGTACGAATGGCAATTATTAATAATATTTATTGAGAATAAATACTTGCCATGACACATGAATAATAACTTGCCAAGGCATTTCAACGACAGTATCTGTATACTTATAGTTATACAGCGGTGTTTCTTTCTCTTTTAGTTTTACTTATAGTTATAGATAAATTCCACGTATCACAGGATAAATTCTTGGTTTTTCAACTTATTCAAATACCTAACAACATAAAATAAAATTTCCTAAATTCACACATTAACCATTAACACTGCAACAACTTTTTCTGTTCATTACCGTCAGCAATAATCGCTTATGAGCACGTATTCTTTTTTATCAACATCATCAACAAGCACACATAATTTCGTTCAATATTGTCTAAAATTCATTCTGTTTGGTGCGATATATATTTAAACAGGAAGATAGTCATACAAGTTTTATACTTCCCCATCAATTGAAGAAATGATCCCAAATATATTGTATCAATAAACTTATATAGGCCAAAAGGGGAGAAAAGAACACACGTCTCACTTGTGTAACTATCATCACGATTGAATATAAAGCTTGTCCATTGTTCCGCATCGCGGCCCTATAAATTCATGTTTTCGGGGTCACCATCGTGGCGAGAAACATGCCAGTAAACATCTGGCAATAAAAAGCAAATCAAATTATTATCATTATATTACAATTGTAATGATGATTAGTTATAACATAGTTTCTGAAGTCCTGTTATCGGGAGTAATTATATTTTTATTCTGACTTTCTTTATAATTATCAGTGTCACTAGGAGACCGCATATGAGTTTGTCTAGGACCATGTAGCTTTCCACTGCAACCACCCTGGCCATGGCGGTCACTATGACAACCCTGGCGGTCACCATGACAACCCTGGCGGTCACCATGACAACCCTGACGGTCACCATGACAACCCTGACGGTCACCATGACAACCCTGGCGGTCACCATGACAACCCTGGCGGTCACCATGGCAACCCTGACGATCGCCATGACAACCTGGGTTGACTCCCCACAAGTCGCCTTCACAACAATCCTCCTCCTTATTATTGTTCTTCCCTCTAACTTTCTCTCCTCCTCTAACTTTTTCTCCTCCTCTAACTTTTTCTCCTCCATTCATCTCGTTACTGTTTGTCAGGGTAACTTTAATCACTACATCGTTCAGAGAATCGTACTTTCCAACTGACTTAATACACCGGGCATTGCAGGAACCCAGAGAAGTGGCCAGATCTGTTAAGTAGTTCCAGATGGCCTTGAAGAAGGTAACAACAGCGTAGTAGATGACGTAAACCGCGTAGAACAGTATCAACACCAGCTGGTCAAACAGCAGCTTTACAACCAGGATACCACTGGCTCGGAACTTAGTGCTGCACATGGTGAAAATGAGCGGATTCATTGCACTGTTACCTGGGAGAGATGTGGTGATAATAAATTGTAAGTTTGTGAATATTTTAATGAGTTATTAACTGAATAGTGTTGAGTAATGAATAAGTCAATGAATAACTAATAAGTTAATGAGTAGTTTCAGAGTTTATTGATAATAATTATTAATAATAATTATTTGGCGCGTAAACATGAGCTCGAAGGACTGAGACGTAAGCAAGCTACTGACTACGTACATGTTATAAAAAATAATATCGATCTGATAGCAAAATACATTTCTTTCCAGTGAATGTCGTGAGTCCATGAAAGCCCTGAACATTGGACCGTTGTGAAACAATAAAGAGAAATCCCCAAAAAGACTGCTAAATCCCCCTCAAGAATACATGTGGCACACGAGAAAAGATTTCCCCTCAGTTCATAACATCGCTTGGACTCACTCGTACAAAATTTCAGCTAAGCCAGCCCTAAAACGTCTACAAAACAGAGTCAAAAGCAGTGGGCTCGCGCAGGTGAACACTGAAATTCACTTTAGTTTATATTACACATTTTAAAAGGTCAAACAGGTCCATAAGTTATTCCAAACATGATTATAACCACTTAGGCAAAGATCCTTTGAAAGGCTTGGAAATCGAACAGTATACTTAAAAAACTAAATGTACTATACGTAGTACGTACCCAATAATAAAAGGTGAATGATAAAGTATTCGATCATCTTCAGTCTTGGTTGTCCGTTCTCAGTTCCAGGATTGATGGTAATGTCAAAACCTGGAAATATCACTAGGTAACTATGGTAACTAGTAGTGTAGCTATGGAAACAGAGATTATTAGCAAAACCTGGAAACAGAGATTATTAGCAACGAAGAAAAGCGAAGGAAATCTATGAACGGGGAATGATGTTACTGTAGAATAACTAGATAGGTTTATTAAACAATTAATTAAATACAACTACAATTAATTTGATTATCAATTGCACCAACCGACGATAACGGTAGGCATGAAGCAGAGGAGGAAAGCCACTGAGATAAGAATCATAGGTAAAACTATCTTGAGGTTTTTGGACCGTCTCTTGGGGCTCTTCAACAGCTCTGACCTGATAATTGAGGGGTGAGCATGTTTGTTAAACTGAGTATTTGTTTGTTTAAGCTTTTAAAGGTAAAACTAGATTGGTTATGGAGGAGAGATCGAAGGAAAAAAAATTAGTTTTGTAGTTTTCTAGACTAATTGAAGAAGATTTCATGAGAGCTTCACAATCAGAAAGAATTCATCTGGGCCACACATAAACAAGAATTGCGCCCGTTGTTTCGTTTTGGCGGACGCTAGATTTCCATTTCACATTTACTATAAATTTAAGTATAACTATAAGCTCCAATCAGCTCACTTCAATCTTCATGATAATAATATTGATCAATTATGCATCAAATACGGGAAACACTTGAAATTCAGTTCAATTGCCGTAGAACTTAACTTGTATCTGTAATTCAAGAAATTATCAGCAAAGGTAAACTATACTCGTGTACACATCAATACACTACGCGTGCCACGTACAAATTGGGTGTATTACCTAATAGTAATATTATTGATACATGTTTCGTATCCCAATATCAGAGATAATTCGGCGGCGCGCGCTTCGCGCGCGAAAAGTGGCATGCAACGTATGTCAATAATATTATACATTACATGCATCATATACACAGTCGCGCCGCGCATTCATAGATCACAGGCTATCTATACATCACATCTCCGCAAGCAATCCTCGCGCGCGCCCAACTTTTTCGTTGCATGGTAACGAACGAACACACGACATATTTAAACCCACCTATCTCGTTCTCCAAAATCCACGTTTTTCTGCAAAAAACCTCCATTCATAACCTTTCACTATTGCCTTTTTTCAAAAGGGTGAAAAGGAAAAAATCGATCAGGGCAGGAAGCAGATCATGCAGCAGCAAAAGAGCACGAAGAGCGGAGGGAATTACAGCAAAGCTATATTATCAGCAAAGCAGTCAATTTATCAGTTTAGTCTTCCATTATAAGCAGCTAAGAGAGCATATAATGAGCTAACAGTTTAGAGACCATTGCACAGACTCAAAGTAACCTGCACAGACTCAGAATAACCTGCACAGACTCAGAGTAACCTGCAAAGACTCAGAGTAACATACACAGACTCAGAATAACCTGCAAAGATTCAGAGTAACCTACACAGACTCAGAGTAATTTGCACAGACTCAGAGTAACCAGCAAAGACTCAGAGTAACATACACAGACTCAGAGTAACCTACACAGACTCAGAGTAACATGCACAGACTCAGAGTAACATGCACAGACTCAGAGTAACATGCACAGACTCAGAGTAACCTGTACAGACTCATACTGTCTACCTCAACCTTCAAATTAGGAAATGACAATAAAACAAACAATCAAGGCTACGCTCGAACCTTCTTATTTAAGGAAATGACAATAAACTAACATAACTGGTCTAAACCTCAACCTTCTTATTAGGAAATGACAATAAAACTAACATACTTGTCTACCTCAACCTTCTTATTTAGGAAATGACAATAAACCTAACATACGGTCTACCTCATCCTTCTTAATTAGTGAAATGACAATAAACTACAAAATACTGGTCAAACCTCAACCTTCTTATTAGGAATAACAATAAAACTAACATACTTGACTACTCAACCTTCTTATTTTAGGAAATTGACAATAAAACTAACATACTGGGACAACCTCAACAACCTTTCTTATTTAGGAAATGAAAAAAAACAAACATACAGGTCTACCTCAACCTTCTTAATTTAGGAAATGACAATAAAACTAACAACTGGTCTACCTCAACCTTCATATTTAGGAAATGACAATAAAAACTAACATACTGGTCTACCTCAACCTCTTATTTAGGAAATGACATAAAACTATCTACAGGTCTACCTAACCTTCTTTATTTTAGAATGACAATAAAACTAACAATCTGGTCTAACTCAACCTCTTATTTAGAAATGACAATAAAACTAACATAACTGGTCTACCTAACCTTCTATTTAGAAATGACATTAAAAACTATCATTACTGGTCTACCTCAACCTTCTTATTTAGAGAAAAGACAATAAACAAACATACTGGTCCCTAAACCTCAACCTTCTTATTTAGGAATGACAATAAAACTAACAAACTGTTCTAACCTCAACCTTCTTATTTTAGGAAATGACAATAAACTAAACAAACTGACTACCTCCAACCTTCTCATTTAGGAAATACAATAAAACTAACATACTGGTCTACTACCTCACCTTCTAATTAGAAATGCAATAAAACTAACATACTGGTTCTAACCTCAACCTTCTTATTTAGGAAATGACAATAAACTAACATACTGGTCCTACTCAACTTCTTATTTAGGAAATGACAAAAAATTCTTAAAAAAAAAACTACATACTTGTCTATACCTCAACCTTCTCAATTAGGAAATTGACAATAAACAACATACTGGTCTACCTCAACCTTCTCATTTAGGATAGAAATGACAATAAAACTACATACTACTGGGCTACCTCAACCTTCTTATTTAGGAAATGACAATAAAACAACATACTGGTCTACCCTCAACTGTCTCATTTAGGAAATGACAATAAAAACTAACATACTGGTCTACCTCAACCTTCTTATTAGGAAATGACAATAAAACTAACATACTGACTACCTCAACCTTCTTATATTGGAAATGACAATAAAACCAAACATCTGGTCTACCTCAACCTTCTTATTTAGGAAATGACAATAAAACTAACATACGGTCTACCTCAACCTTCTTACTTAGGAAATACAATAAAAACTAACATAACTGGTCTAACCTCAACTCTTCTTATTTAGGAAATGACAATAAAACTAACAACAGTCTAACCTCAAACCTTCATATTTAGGAAATGAACAATAAAACTAACATCTGGTCTACCTCAACCTTCCCTTAAATTAGGAAATGACAATAAAACTAACATACTGGCACCTCAACCTCTTATTTAGGAATGATCAATAAAACTAACATACTGGTCTACTCAACCTTCGTATTAGGAAATAACAATAAAACTACATACTGGTCTACCTCAACCTTCTTATTTAGGTAAATGAACAATAAAACTAACATACTGGTCTACCACAACATTCTTATTTAGGAAATGACAATAAAGACAACATACTGGTCTACCTCAACCTTCTTATTTAGGAAATGACAATAAAACTAACATACGGCTACCTCAACCCTTCTTATTTAGGAAATGACAATAAGAACTAACATACTGGTCTACCTCAACCTTCTATTAGGGAATATGACAATAAAAACTAACATACTGGACTACCTAACCTTCTTATTTAGAAAATGACAATAAACTAACATACTGTCTAGGCCTCAACCTTCTATTTAGGAAATGACAATAAAACTAACATACTGGTCTACCTCAACCTTCTTATTTAGTAATGACAATAAAACCTAACATATCTGGTCTACCTTCAACCATCTTATTTAGGAAATACAATCAAACTAACATACTCTGTCTACCTCAACCTCTTATTTAGGAAATGACAATAAAACTAACATACTGGAGTCCTACTCAACCTTCTTATTTAGGAATGACAATTAAAAACTAACATACTGGTCCTACTCAACCTTCTCATTTAGGAATGACAATAAAACTAACATACTGTCCTACCTCAACCTTCTTATTTAGGAAATGACAATAAAACTAACATACCTAGGCTATACCTCAACCTTCTTATTTAGGAAATGACAAAAAACTAACATACTGGTCTACTCAACCTTCTATTTAGGAAAATACAATAAAACTAACATAACTGGTCTAACCTCACCTTCTCATTAGGAAATGAACAAAAAACTAACATATTAACTGGTCTACCTCAACCTTCTCATTTAGGAAATGACAATAAAACAAACATACCTGGTCTTCCCTCAACCTTCATATTTAGGAAATGACAATAAAAAACTAACATACAGGTCTACCTCAACCTTCTCATTTAGGAAAAGAACAATAAAACTAACATACATGTCCTACCTCAACCCCCCTTCTATTTAGGAAATGAAAATAAAACTAACATACTGGTCTACCTCAACCTCTTAATTAGGAATGACAAAAAAACTAACATACTGGTCTACCTCCACCTCTTATTTAGGAAATACAATAAAACGAACATACAGGCTAACCTCACCCTTCTATTTAGAAATGACAATAAAACTAACATACTGGTCCTACCACAACCTTCTTAATTTAGGAAATGACAAAAAACTAACATACGTCTACCTCAACCTTCTATTTAGGAAATGACAAAAAACTAACATACTGGTCTACCTCAACCTCTTATTAGGAATGACAATAAAACTAACCATACTGGTCTACCTGAACCTTCTTAATTTAGGAAATGACAATAAACACATAACTGGTCTACCTCCACCCTCTTATTTAGGAAATAACAATAAAACTAAATACAGGTCTAACCACAACCATCTTTATTTAGGAAATGACAATAAAACTAACATACTAACTGGTCTACCTCACTTCTATTTAGGAAATGACAATAAAACTAACATAACTGGTCTACCATAAACCTTCTTATTTAGGAAATGACAATAAAACTAACATACTGGTCTACTCAACCTTCTTATTAGGAAATTACATAAAAACTACATACAGGTCTACCTCAACTTCTTATTAGGAAATGACACATAAAACTAACATACTGGTCTACCTAACCTTCTTATTTAGGAAATGACAATAAAAACCTAACATATGGTCTACCTCAACCTTCTTATTTAGGAAAAGACAATAAAACTAACATACTGTTCTACCTCAACCTTCTTATTTAGGAAATTAACAATAAAACTAACATACTGGTCTACCACAACCTTCTTATTTAGGAACATGACAATAAAACTAACATACTGGTCTACTCAACCTCTTATTTAGGAAATGACAATAAAACTAACATACTGGTCTACCTCAACCTTCTTATTTAGGAAATGACAATAAAACTAACATACTGTCTACCTCAACCTTCTCATTTAGGAAAATGACAATAAAACTAACATACTGGTCTACCTCAACCTTCTTATTAGTAAATGACAAAAAAACTAAAATCTTGTCTACCTCATCTTTCTTATTTAGGAAATGACAATTAACTAACATACTGGTCTACCTCCAACCTTCTTTATTTAGAAATGATAATAAAACTAACATACTGGTCTACCTCTAACCTCTCATTTTAGGAAATGACAATAAACTACATAACTGGTCTACCTCAACCTTCGCATTTTAGGAAATGACAATACAACTAACATACTGGTCTACCCAACTTCCTTATTAGAAAATGAACAATAAAACTAACATACTGGTCTACCCCAACCTTCTCCATTTAGGAAAATGACAATATACTAAACATACTGGTCTACCCAAAACCACCTTATTTAGGAAATGACAATAAAACAAACATACTACTGGACTACCTCAACCTTCTTATTTAGGAATGACAAAAAACTCAACATACTGGTCTAACCTCAAACTCAACCTTCTTAATTAGGAAATGACATAAAACTAACATACTGGTCTACTCAACTTCTCTTATTTAGGAAATAGACAATAAAACAAACAATACTGGTCTACCTCAACCATTCTTATTTAAGGAAATGACAATAAAACAACATACTGGTCTACCTCACCTTCTATTTAGGAAAGACACTAAAACTAACATACTGGTCTATATACCTCAAACCTTCTTATTTAGGAAATGACTATAAAACAAACATACTGGTCTAGCCTCAACCTGCTTATTTATGGAAATGACATAAAACTAACATACTGGTCTACCTCAACCTTCTTATTTAGGAATAACAATAACAATAACAATACTGGTCTACCCTTCAAACTTCTATTTAGGAAATGACAACTAAAACTTAACATACTGGTCTACCTCAAACCTTCTTATTTAGGAAATGACAATAAAACTAACATACTGGTCTAGGCCTCAACCTTCTAATTTAGGAAATGACAATAAACTAATCATACGGTCTACCTCAACCTTCTTATTTAGGAAATGACAATAAAACTAACATTACTGGTCTACCTCAACCTTCTTATTTAGGAAATGACAATAAAACTAACATACTGGTCTACCTAAACCTTCTTATTAGGAAATGACAATAAAACTAACATACTGGTCTACCTCAACTTCTTATTTAGGAAATGACAATAAAAACTAACATAAACTGGTCTACCTCAACCTTCTTATTTTAGAAATGACATTAAACTAACATACAGGTCTACCTCAACCTTCTTATTTAGGAAATACAATAAAACAACATACT